ATTGAGAGTATACCTGTGTAATTCTTTTAAATCTTCTTAGTGGATTGTTTTGTGGCTGTTGCCCGTGGTTTTTTAATCACAGTTGGAGGTGTCCAATTGTGATTTTTCCACGTTAAAATCGTTGTGTTGATTTGTCTTGATTGTTTGATTGGGATTGTTATATACCGCTTAAAATTGTTACATAATCACAAATCAATATCTAGGGGATTTCTAGATTTTTCAGTTACAATACTTTTTTGAGAAAATCTAGGGATACAAAAAGTTTCAAACATAGAATGGATAGGTGTGACACACATATTCACATCTTGCAATTATAAATGTAAATTTTTTGTCTCACATCTATGTATTCTGTGCCGTTTTGGCAACTTACAAAAAAAAGTTGTGTTCTGCAGCTCTTCCCAAAAAAGCCAAAATGGCTTTTTACCATTAAAACCATTTGAGGAGGTCAAAAAAAGCTATTGGTAAAATTATAACTATACCCTTCATGGATCAAAATGAGTCACGTATAGGTGAAATTGTACATTTTTTAAATTAGGTGGGGGTAATTTGATCGTTTTATTGTGATGTAATACCAAACCAAGCCTTAAGTCCCATCAAATGGGGTTGGCTACATAAATCATTCTTCTCCACGTGACCCTATCAAAGGCCATTTTATTAGTCAAATTAAGTAAATCCATATCTCTATTTACAACGCTAGCCAACGTTAATTTAGGCCTACCCCGTCCCCTAACACTCTCATCTACCGTTACAATATCGCATCTCTTCACTACAACCTTTATTGGTCTCCGTTGAATGTGACCAAACCATCTCAATCGATTCTCTCTCAACTTATCTTCTATCGGCACTACTCCTACCAATTCCCAAATACACTAATTTCTAATTCTGTCTTGCCTAATCTCGCCACACATCTACCTGAGCATTCGTATCTCAGCCACACTCATCTTATCTACATGTTGTTTCTTGGTTGCCCGACACTCCGTCCCATACAACATCGTTGGTCTAATCTAATAGTCGTTCTATAGAACTTACCTCCTAGTCTAGTGGGTATTCGTTTATTGCACGCACTTCTCCACTTACACCATCCCGCCTTAATCCTATGGGTCACATCCGCATCAATCTCCCCCGCTATTGTGATAATTGACCCTAAATAACGAAAATGTTCATTCTTAGGTAGTTCTTGGTTCTCAATCTTCACTTCTCTTCTGCTTTCATTGTTACTGTTACTAAATTTACACTCCATGCACTCTGTCTTAGTTCTGCTAATCCGGAATCCTTTAGATTCAAGAGCTTTTCTCCAAATCTCCAACTTTGTATTAACTCCTTCTCTAATCTCATCCACTAGCACAATATTGTCTGCAAAAAGCATACACCATGGCACGTCATTCTGAATATTTCTCGTCAACTCATCCATAACTAAAGCAAAAAGATAAGGACTTAAAGTAAATCCTTGGTGTAACCGTACAATGATAGGAAATTCATTTGTCTCTCCAGCAAGCGATCTAATAGTGGTCACCAACCCTTCATACATGTCCCTAATCACATCAATGTAACCTTTTGTCACCCATTCCTTCACTAACACTCACCATATTATATCTCGGGGCACTCTATCATATGCTTTCTCAAGGTCAATAAACACCATATGAATATTTCTTTTCTTTTTTCTATACTTTTCTATTACTCTCCTCAAAAGATAAATTGCTTTCGTTGTTGACCTGCCAGGCATAAACCCAAATTAATTCTCTGACACCTCTGTTATATCTCATAATCGGCATTCTATCACCATCTCCTACACTTTCATTATATAACACATTAGCTTGATTCCTCTATAGTTGTTGCAATTATGCACATCTCATTTATTCTTATAAATTGGCACTAAAATACTTTTCCTTCACTTATCTGACATGTTTCTAGTCAACAAAATTTTGCTAAACAACCTAGTCAACCAAGTAGCCCTTTTTTTACCCAAACACTTTCAAGCTTCAATAGAGATATTATCGGGTCCTAAAGCCTTATTTGATTTCATCTTTTTAAGTGCAATCTCCACTTCAAAGTTCCTAATCTTGCGATAGAACCTATAGTCTTAGTTTATCATATTACTGGCTATTTCTTCCCCTATTACCGTATCTCCATGTTCTTCATTTAATAGTTTCTCAAAATAGTTCTTTCGTCTTTCCTTAATCTCTTCATCTTTCACAAATACCTGAGAATCCTCACTCTTAATATACTTAACTTGATTAAAATCTTCTGTTTTCTTCTCCCGTATCTTAGCAGGTTTGTATACCCTTTTCTCTCATTCCTTACTATCTAGTCTAGTGTATAGGTCATCATAAGCTTTCAACTTAGCATCTTTCACCACTTTTTTGGCCTCCTTATTAGCTAATCTATAGCTCTTAAGATTTTCCTTAGTTTTATCCTTCTGTCACTTTTTAAAGCACTATTTTTTTGCCATAACTACCGCTTGAACCTCTTCCCTTCACCACCAAGTTTCCCTAGAGCTGGGTCCCGTCCCTTTTGATTCTCTAAGTACTTCCCTTGAGATTCTCTTCATACAGTCGGCCATTGAGTTCCACATAGTGTTAGCATCATCTTCCAAGTCTCAAGTACCTTCCTTATCCATTATATTCTTAAATATTTATAGTTTATCCCCTTTTAGGTCCCACCATCTTGTCCTACGACGCTCACCATCCTTCTTAGCTTGGTATTGCCCTCTAAAACATAAATTCAGTAACAAAATCCTATGTTGAGAGGTCAGGCTCTCTCCAGGAATCAACTTACAATCATTGTATTTTAGGCGGTCCACTTTTTTCACTAAGAAGTAATCTATTTGGCTCTTAACTAACCCATTCTTAACGATTATCAAATGCTCCTCCATTTTCTTATACAAAGTATTGGCCACTACCAAGTCAGAAGCCAACACAAAATCTAAGATACTCTCTCCAGCCTCATTTCTGTCACCAAAAGTTGTATCCACCATGCATCCTTTCATAGCCTAGTCTATCTATGCCTACATGGCCATTAAAATCTCCACCTATAACCAGGTTCTCTCCTACGGGCATCTCTTGTAAGATCTCATCCGTTTGTTTCCAAAAATCCTTCTCAGTCTGGTTATCTAATCCTACTTGAGGGGTGTATGCATTAATAACGTTCAATATATTCTCTCCAATAACTAGTTTAACTAACATAATCATATCCTTTTTCCTAATGACCGCCACTACATTTTCCACAAGACTCTTGGCAATTATGATTCGTACCACATTCTTGCGTCTATCCTTACCACTATAATACAGTTTAAAATCAGTATCCTCAATTTCCCTAGCTTTCTCGGCCGTCCACTTAGTTTCTTGTCCGCAAGCTATACTAACTCTCATCCTAATCATAACATCTACCAATTCTATCACCTTACCAATTAAGGTTCCTATATTCCAAGTGGCTACCCTAAACCTGTAGTCTTGTACTAGCTTCTTTACCTGTGCTCGTCTAGAAAAGCGCGAAAACTTTTGCCAATTTTTCACCGTACCCAGGCGTCGATGCAGTGTCGCTTGCTTACTTTTTGAAACACCCGGAGGCAGCGCAACGCACCACTTGAGGGGAACGATTTATTATTTAAACGATTCAAAGTAAGATTCATTGTCATAAGGGATCCGAGCGATTTTTTTTACGTGTTGGCTGTCGGCTACCTAACACACAACCCTCCTCCTTAACCCGGGCTTGTAATGCGATATCATAAACAAATATTAATTAAAAAAGTCAAAAGCAGCTTTTTATTAACTTCTTAAATCACTTTCTAAAAAAGCTAAAATGCGTGGTTAAAAGTCAAAAGTCAACTTTTAACTATCTTTCCAAAACATTTAGAACTTTCTATATTCCTCGCACAATTTGTTTTAAAAAAGTTCGGCCATGTTTGGTTTTATTCTTTGATTTTTTTTTGGTTGAAAAAATAGAAATTAATTTGATAAAAATAAACAGCAGATTTTTTTTTTAACTTTTTAAAAATGATTTCTTCTCTCCAAAAAGATAAAAATTATATAAAAAATAATAAATATTTTTCATTTTTTCAATTTTTTCTTGAAATTAATTTATAATTTTAAAAAAAATCTAAAAACTAAACCTAGCCTCATATTTGGCCCTGTTTGGCAACTAGCTTTTCTGGCTTCTTTTTTTTTTTTTTTTTTTTTTGGTGTGTGTGTGTAAAATAACTAATAAAGAAAAAAAATGCTAAAATATCAAATTTGACAAAATGTCTTTTTGTAAAATAACTAATAAAGGGAAAAAATGCTAAAACAACAAATTTAACAAAATGTCATATCCTACCCATCAATTAATCAAATATTTTTTTTTCACAATCATCTATTCAACTATAAAAAAATTCACAAATTTTTTCCAAATCATATAAGTTAAAAAAGCCAACAATAACCAAGCTCCCAAATGAGCCCTTTATGACATAACAATTTTTTTTTTTTTCTTTTCAAACTTCAGAGAAATTAGTAGCGTAATTTATCAATTTTTTATGTGAAAATAATTTATTTGATAATGATCTCTAGATGATCAAAATTGAGACAATTACAATGTAATTATTCAAAAACATTTTCAAATCAGGCTTGTTTTAGAAAGTAGGAAAAAAAATTAATTTTTCAATTTTTTTAAATTTTTTTTTGAAAAAATGTGAAAAAAAAATTAAAAAATGATATGACTCAAATAAATCAATAAATTGATTTTTTTTTTTATTTTCCAAAATGCCAGTGGTAAAATTTATAAGCATTAAGAATTAAATTTATAAAATATTTTTGTTAAAATTTTCCCATAAAAAATTCAATGTTGGTCCCAGTGAAACAGTGGCCCATCTCCCGAGGGCTGTAGCCTGCAAACTGCAGGCTCTTCCTGACCTGCCGAGCCCATTGAGCAGTCCAAACACATAACACGGTTTCGTACACAGGCCCACACTCTTCACACGTGCGACTCATTTCAAAAAAAAAAAAAAAAATTAGGGTTTTTCAAGGATCAGCGATCTCGGGCAGACTTTTCTTTGCCTGCCCGTTGTGTTTTCACTCATCAACATCTCTCTCCCGCTTCTTCCAAGTATTCGAAATAGGTATATATATATATCTATCTATTCTATATACACTGACACACTCATATATATATATATATATATACGCATCATTTATATGTATCTACATATTCGATTCGATAGTTTCGTTCTCACTATCGATTGATCAAGCACAGAGAGAGAGAGAGAGAGAGAGAGAGAGAGAGAAGAGAGAGAAACCCTAGCTCCTGTGGTTAGCTGTTGCGGTCAAATAAGGTATACTTCTTCTGTCTCTCAACCTTGACCTAGGTCTTTAATTGATGTTCTTCGAGTGGATCTAATGTATTTGTTTGTTTTAGGGTTTAACATATGCTGATAATGAATTCGATGTTGATTGGGGTTTGGCCTTTTGCCTTGTTATTTTTGTGCACGAAATCTACGGATCTTTACTTGTTTTTGGTTGTGATTTCTGAATCGGTTATTTTCTATATCTGGTTGTTGTTTTGAGGGTTTATGGTTATGCTCTGTTTGTATTTGTCATTGTATCTGCTTTTTCCTTCCTTGTGTTTGTGTTTCTTTTTTTGTATAAGATGTCTGGGCTGTTTGTTTGGATGGAAAATAATTGCTGAAACATTTTCTTGGATGTTTTTCGGACTCTTATGTATTTGTCATTTGATGGGTAGTTTGGAATTTGAAGTTTGGGGGTCTGTTACTGTTCCTTTTTGCTTTGTTTTGGGCTGCTGAAATTTGTCTTTTTAGAAGGAAAACTTTGTCTTTTCTGGAAACAACAACTTGGAATTTTGAATTGCCATTTTTCTTCAACTGTTTTATTGAAGCGGGTATGATGGTTTTGAAAAGCATAGCTTTATTATTTCCAATAGAATCCAAATCGTGAGATGAAACATAGCCGTGCTGTTGAAAAAAGGTTGCTTATTATTGTGATTGGTACTAATGAGCAGTTTTGTTGAACAATTCACGGACCGTGAGAAGGAAAGGTTGCACTGTTCGTATTTCCTGGAAATTGGCATCCCTAAACTAGATTCTGGAACTAACTTATCAATATTTCATTATAGTTAAGCATGGTTGAAATTGGCAGACATAACATAGCAACTTTGGGCCATTTTCTGCACTCTACTTTTTGTAACACTAAATGGGAGCCATTGTTCTGTCATACATTTGCTTTGACCAAGACATGTTTCGTTTCTTTCTTTTTTTCTTTCTAATTACACACGTAATCTAAGGTCATTACATAATCTATCCATCCCAGTACTGACATGGAATGGACTTTTTAATTTTTCATTGTTGGTTTAGTGTGGTGCAGCCTATGTATTCATACATCTTTTGTCTTTGGTGTATATTGTTGTAATCTTGTTAACTGTTTTGCCAAAATGTAATGTAGGAAAAAATGGCTTTGGAGATCACCCAATTTCTTTTGTCCGCTCAATCAGCCGATGCTAAGGTCCGGACTGGGGCAGAGGGTAACCTCAGGCAGTTCCAAGAGCAAAACCTACCATCTTTTTTCCTGTCTTTGTCTATTGAGCTCTCGAACAATGACAAACCCATTGAATCCCGTAGATTGGCAGGTATCCTGCTTAAAAATTCATTAGATGCTAAAGATGCTTCTAGGAAGGAACATCTTGTTCAACAGTGGGTGACAATTGATATTTCTGTTAAATCCAAAATCAAAGACTTGCTCTTGAGCACTCTTGGATCTTCAGCTCCTGAAGCAAGGCACACTTCTTCCCAAGTAATTGCTAAAATTGCTGCAATTGAAATTCCCCGGAAGGAGTGGCCTGAACTAATTGGATCGTTGCTTGTCAATATGAGTCAGCAAGATAGGCCTGCTTCATTGAAACAAGCAACCTTGGAAACGCTTGGATATACTTGTGAGGAGATATCTCACCAGGATCTTATGCAAGAGGAAGTCAACTCTGTCCTCACTGCTGTGGTCCAAGGCATGAATGTTGCACAGCACAGCCCTGAAGTCCGCCTTGCAGCAACTAGGGCTCTCTATAATGCTCTTGATTTTGCACAGAGCAACTTTGAGAATGAGATGGAGCGGAATTACATTATGAAGGTTATCTGTGAGACGGCCGTTGCTAAAGAGGCTAAGATTAGACAAGTTGCTTTTGAATGTCTTGTGTCAATTGCATCGACATACTATGAGGTGCTCGAGCCTTACATGCAAACTATCTTTGAGCTTACATCAAATGCAGTTAAAGGAGATGAAGAGACTGTTGCACTTCAAGCAATTGAGTTCTGGAGCTCCATATGTGATGAAGAGATAGAATTTCAAGAGTATGAGACTGCTGAGAGTGGTGATTCTGGCTCTCCGCATTCCCGCTTCATTGAGAAGGCTCTGCCTTATTTAGTTCCTATGTTGCTGGAGACTTTACTGAAGCAGGAAGAGGATCAGGACCAAGATGATGGTATGTGGAATGTATCCATGGCTGGTGGGACATGTCTAGGTCTTGTTGCTAGGACTGTTGGTGATGCTATTGTGCCCCTTGTTATGCCTTTTGTAGAGGCTAATATATTGAAGACAGATTGGCGATCCCGTGAGGCTGCTACATATGCATTTGGCTCAATTCTAGAAGGGCCAAGTGTTGAGAAGCTCGCTCCAATGGTCCATGCAGGATTGGATTTTCTGCTTAATGCAATGAAGGGTGAGAACAGCCACGTGAAGGACACAACTGCTTGGACTCTTAGCCGTGTTTTGGAGTTATTGCATACTCCATCTACTGGATTCTCTGTGATCTCCCCTGCAAATCTCCAGCGGGTTTTGGGGGTTTTGTTGGAGAGTATTAAAGATGCTCCACATGTATCTGAGAAGGTTTGTGGTGCCATTTACTACCTTGCTCAGGGTTATGAGGATGCTGGCACTAGCTCGTCTCTTCTTACACCATACCTTCCAGACATTATAACTTGTCTTATTGCTACAGCTGAACGAACTGACGGTGGTGATTCCAAGCTCAGGTCTGCTGCATATGAAACCTTGAATGAGGTGGTTAGGTGTTCGAATCTTACTGAAACATCTCACATCATAACACAACTACTCCCCGTCATCATGAATAAGTTGGGGCAGACTGTTGAGCTTCAGATTGTATCATCTGATGATAGGGAAAAGCAAGGAGATTTGCAAGCCCTTCTTTGTGGTGTCCTCCAAGTTATTATCCAGAAACTTAGCAGCACTGACGAGACTAAAGCTGTAATACTGCAGGCTTCTGATCAAATTATGGTATTGTTTCTCAAGGTTTTCGCTTGCCGTAGCTCTACGGTGCATGAAGAAGCAATGCTTGCTATTGGTGCATTAGCTTATGCCACTGGACCAGAGTTTGGAAAGTATATGTCAGAGTTCTATAAATATTTGGAGATGGGTTTGCAGAATTTTGAGGAATACCAAGTTTGTGCCATCTCAGTTGGGGTGGTTGGAGATATTTGTCGTGCTTTGGATGAGAAGATTTTACCATACTGTGATGGGATCATGACGCACCTTCTCAAGGATCTATCCAGCAGTGAGCTACACCGGTCTGTCAAACCCCCCATATTCTCTTGTTTTGGGGATATTGCTCTAGCGATTGGTGAACACTTTGAGAAATATATTCTTTATGCAATACCAATGATCCAGGGAGCTGCTGAGATCTGTGCCCGGATGGACAACAGTGATGAAGAGATGGTAGAATATGGCAACCAGCTCAGGCGCAGCATCTTTGAAGCTTATTCTGGAATTCTTCAGGGATTTAAGAATTCTAAGCCTGACCTAATGGTGCCACATGCTGCACATCTCTTGCAGTTCATTGAATTAGTTTGTAGAGAAAGACAAAGGTATTGCTGATTACTTTCATATTCTTCAATCCGCTTCCCAAGTCAGTTTCTAAAGACAAAGGTATGTGTTTATTTACCACACTTTATTCCTAATAGCTGTAATCCTGGTGGTTTTTGTAGGGAGGAGAGTGTGACAAAGGCAGCAGTTGCAGTGTTAGGAGATCTTGCAGATGCACTCGGTTCAAATGTGAAGATATTGTTAAAGGACTGTTCATTCTGTACCGAGTTTTTGGTTGAGTGTCTTCAATCCGACGATGAACAGCTCAAGGAGACTGCAACATGGACGCAAGGGATGATTGGACGCGTTTTTTCTGTCTGCGGGTAAAAGTTAGTTATTTCTTAAGTGCCGTTTTTTGTTCATGAAACTGCTTTTCTTGCTCTTCGGTTGGTAAAGGTCAAGTCTGTTAGGGTCACTAAGGTTGAGGTCATGTCTCCTTGTGTCTATTGTATTTTGCTCATACAAGTTTCTGAAATTGGGAAAATGTTTTATTATCCGCTTTGTATGAGAGTCAGAAACTTTCTTGCTAGAAAGTCAGCATTGAATTTGAAGCCATTACCAATGGAGAAGGTGGCCTCATATTCTTATTAACCTTGTTAAGTTCTATGCATCCACTGATCAGTGGTTCGGTTCATCAAATTTTGTCTTCATCCTTGTTTTAATATATGCTTTTTGTCAATTCTTGTTGGTTGATTCATTATTATTATGATGATATGAAATTTCAACATGACTACTTAGTTTGGTGGTACTCCGCTCTCATTAAGATCAGAAAAACTCTGTAGGGACCTGTTGAATGGGTGGTTTAAAAACCCTTCTATTCTGATCTTTAGCTATACTGTCTGGTGTGTGTGCAAGTATGTGCACTCTTTGTGTCTAGTTTTTGTAGTTTATCTGAGATTTATACTCTGTTGATAATTAAGTTGCTTTCTTGCACCTAAATTACATATATATAGAACATTGTTGGATTGATTGAGAATGTACGATGTCATAGGGAGCATTCAGTCTTGAGTATTTCTAGGAATTCATATATTTACGACTTTTAGGTTTTTGTTTGATTAGTAGGATTAATAGTGAGGAGATTAACAATCCATGAGATTAGTTTAAGATTAGTTATTGAGCTGGATTAGCGGGATAAATAATTCTCATGTCCACATTTATTTTGCAATATATATGGGAATATATATAATTCCAATTATATGTTTGTGTTGTATTATTAGTTGTAGGATTAAAAAATCCACCAGTTTTGTTGGGTGGAATGTCCATTAAAATTTAATCCGAATAACACTAAATTGCAACCAAACATTAGAATGTGTCATATAAATTAATAATCTCAATTCTATATTGTAAGTCCGTCTAATCAAACAAACCCTTAGAATGTGTTTCGAGTAGGGGTTTGCGCGGTGCGGGTTGGTGCGGTTTGAGAGAAAAATAGAAACCGTATGATGGGTGGTGGATTGATAAAAGTGTCACTAAAATTTGTCATTTTCCTTATCAAAAACCGGCGGTTCGGTTGGCAAATAATGGCGGATTTGCCTTGGTGGTTCGGGCGGATTGGCGGTTTATAAAAAATATAATTCAAACTACAAAACTTAAATCAAAGAGTAAAAAAAAGACGAGAGATATTGTGATGTTAAGCATCTTGCGAAGCTTTCTTCTGATGCAGCAAATGTAGCAACAACATGATAATATCAACGACTATGCCATCAGTTCATTACAAGCATCTGTGGAAGCTACAATGATGAAATACAATACATAAAATTTCTCTCGAGTAGTAATGTAATACTATATTCTAAGGTATAGAACAACAAGCAAATTTAAGTAAAAAGGAATTTTTAGAATCCTATAAAACATGATTTAATAGCGGTGCGGGTCGGTGCGGTTTGGAAGAAAAATAGAAACTGGCGGATTGATAAAAGTGTTACTAGAATTTGCCATTTTTTTTACTAAAAACCGGCGGTTCGATTGACAAATAATAACGAATTTGCCTTGGCAGTGCGGTTTCGACGGTATTATGCACACTCCTAGTTTCGAGTGTGTTATAAGTATGTATTTAAGACTATTCCTAAGAAAAATCCTTAACAATTTTCTTCCATGAACTCTGCAAAATGTTCCATCATAAATGGCGTTCCTCTGTTCAAAATTTTTTCTAGTGCTCTGACTTCTATTTTATGTTGTTTTGTGTTTGGATTTTGGACTTGTAGAGGGTACAGAAAAGAAAAAACTTTTTTTTTTTTTTAAATATCAAATTTAAGATCTAAACACATTAATCTTAAGTTATTTAACTTTTCAACCATGATATCTGGTTACTCCATGAGTCTTGACCAAATGGTTAAGACTGCAAAACAAATCAAATTACTCAAATTTAACTCTTTAAAAGTGCCATTGAGATATGATTATAAGATAAATAATTCAATTTAAGCATATTTTGATATTCATTTAAGTTTCAAGCCAATTTTGAAAAACTTATAAATAGTATTGTGAATTTTCTTCCGTCAAAATAATTCTCAAGTTCAGATTAGTTATGTAACATCAAAACTGTGACGCCTGCTGAAGCAAAAACATTTGAATATTAAACCATAACAGACATTTCATTCTCAAAAACAAGAAAACGATAACAGATAGATTAAGGCACAGCTAGCTAACTCGGTCAAAACAACTGCGAGTTTGGGGTTGCTGCTGCGCACCATGCGCAGAGCAACTGTTGTGCGTCTTATTGGGCCCATTTCAGGGTCTAATTTGATAATTTAAACTGTTTATATTTTAGAAGGTATCGAGTATAATATATATCTGTAAAAAATTACGTTAATTGGATATCATTGGCCTTTTCATCAAGTCACATTTGTATTTAATTTGAAATATAAAATTCAATTTAAATGTGATTTGATGAAAGAGATAACCATATTCGATTGATGTGATTTTTTATAGGTATATTCTACTCGATACCTTCTAAAATGTAAATGGTTCAGATTATCAAATTAGGCCCTAAAATGGACCCAATAAAGCGCGCAATCAAGTTAGCTACGATTACTCGTCCAAGATTAATCGTCCAAGATTAAAAAAGACAGCAATCAAACATAGGATTACTCCTCCAAGATTAAAAAGGCTGTAGTGATTTAACATTATTATTAGTTAAGGGGTGTGAGATGGAAGAGCAAAATCCAATTAATACGATTTGATCGTGTAAATCTAATACATTTAATTATGGTGGCAGAGACATTTAAATTATAAATCAGATTGTGATCTTGTATATTACATTGTTTAACAGTTTATAATGAGTCTTTCACGACCTTTTGATGATGTAATCATTATACAATATTGACATAATGAATAAATCCTGAATGACTACAAAGTGTTTCAACCACAGAAAAGTGAAGTAAGGTTGCATATGTCTAATCCTTCAAAATCATACCGTAATGAGAGTCTCGAACATTGAAATTCTTTTTTTTTATTTTCTTAATTTCACATAATGAATAATACATAACATATGATTTACAATACATTTCAATTGAATTAGCACAATATTCACATAATGAATAAATAATACAATACATATGATTTACAGTACATATCAGTGGAATTGTCCTTAAGCATCACGGACTGTACTCACGAAAACAGGCTTTTTGTAGTAATAGGAGTATTAGTGCACCACTCTTTCTTATCTTCTTTCTTTCATTAACTTCTCCAACAAGAAAATCTCACTAATGGGATTCCTCTCCATTCCAGGGCCATGCTATTGTTATTCTCACCTTCAATCCTCACCCCATATAGACTCTTCCCTTCGCTCACCATTTCCATGGCTTCCATTAAGCTCTCTTTGCTCACTTGACAACCCTCTAACCCAAACCCTAATTGAAGATCACAACAGCCCATCTCTTCCCATTTGTGAATCCATGCAAGAGAAGATATCAAAGGAGCCACAAAGAGACATTCCAAGGCAGTCCTTGCTTCTCCAAGATGATTTGGAAAAGCCCATTCTATGGATTCTAATAAAGCTTGGTAATGTACCAAATGCCCATCCAAGAATGAACCAAAACTAGAGGAAAATCTTGAATTCACCCAAACATCTCCATCACCAAAGTTATAATACCCATGTTATCAAAATCAGTTCTTCTACGTGCACAAGATCTGATCATAGAATTGAACACAATATTTTCACATGGGATGGAATCCACATCTAATTTTGTGATCGGATTCTGTGCACTAAGAGATTTTCTATCAAAATAACAATTTGCAACGTAAGCTAGCAATTCCTTAACCACCCTTAAAAATTTTGACAGATCCCTCCTACTTTTCACCCTGCCCATGTGGGGAAGCCTTAGCATGCAATTAAAAACCAACCACTCTCTTCTCCTTCCATTTCTCTTCGTTGTCTTTATCTCATTAACCAAATCATGAAGTTCCATGGTATCCACAGTCAACTTTACGCAAAATGCTTGGGCATGATCACACAACCATCTCCTTGTCTCTGCGAACCTCCAGGGCGAGGGGGGACAGTCAGAATCTGCCTCGCTCCATTTTACTGATGTCAGTCTAAGGCCTCGTTTGGCAAGAGCCTATTTTAGCCAATTAGCCAAAAAGTTACTAAATTAGTCAAAAAGCCAACAACCCATACCAAAAAGTCAAAGATTCTCTTTTCTCTCTACTTTTTGCACATCTTTTCGTAATTAGCCAAAAAGTCATCCCAAACATACAAGTTTTTTTTACCTACCTTTTTAGCCAAATAGCCAAAAAGTTACTAAATTAGCCTGTTCCCAAACGAGGCCTAAGTCTGATCTCCTTCCTTTGTTGCCATCCGATAGCTTCGATCATTGAAGGCCATTGAATCCCTTCCCCCATGTCAAAGTCAATGACATGTATGAGCTCCACATCATGAGGCATGGCTTGGAGGATTGCTCGGTTAGCCGCAAAATGAGCAAACTTCCCATATGGGAATATTTGGTAGAATGTCATGAAAGCTGCACGGAAGTTCTTGTCAGACTCTTGCCTAAGGTAGTCAGCTTGCTTGTCGACGGGTTGGAACAAGTAATACAAAAGCTGATCCATGACTCCTCCAACCGGACTCACTTTCTCGCTTATACGCTTCATGATCACCTCAGAAAGCTCAATCTGCCCTTCATCAATGGCTTCTCTATAAGCTTTGATTAGATGAATTGCATTGTTGAGTTCCATGTTTTCAGTAGGCAAAGTTAGTTGCAAACTCTCCTCACTTTGCTTCAACGAATTTGACAATACCTCAATATCAAAATCCTCCACAGATATCGAAAAACCATCTTCTGGCAACGCAATATCTGAATCTTTGACATGAACTTGAGGGTCTGAAAACTTGTCAAGTAAAGTGGTTGGAATTGGGAAGGTTGAGATTTTAGAGTTGTCAAAGGAGTAGTCCTCGGTTGTGATGAAAGGAGGACAGAAGTCGAAGTTGTCGTCATCCATGTCAACATCCATAGCCAATCCAAAATCTCCAAATTCATTGAATAAAAAAGGTGAGTTTACGTAGTTGAAGAATGGCCATGGTGATTGGAGAAACTTAGGCTGCGTTTTGGTATTCATTGTGTTAACAAGGCTAAAGTTTATTTGGAATGAGTGTTGACTCTTGATAACAATGCCCTTTGAGTATTTATATAGAACAACAATGCTGGGTAACCTGAATTTTTATGGCTCAAATGTCTCAAAATGACGTCATTTTGATACATCCAAGCTATTCGAATCATACAAAATCTGAGCTATTCGGACCACACTAATTCAAACTACTAAATATTTTTCTTATAAAGAAAAACATACTATGGACAAGCTCAAGAGTGAGACAAAAGTATGTTCTTTTCCAGCTGTTTTCCAGTCACCTTCTCAGGATGTTAACATGTGTTTTTTTAATAAATAGGAGGGGCTGGTTTGAAAATTAGTTATTTTAATAATTTTTAAAATTTTTACCAAAAAAGAAAAAGAAAAATAGAGAGTAATTTGATAATTTGTAGTGATTTTTTAGACTATAATTGTTATTTTCCAAACGAGGTCTATATATATATTATGTGATAATAATATCTTTATAATTATGATTCATATCAATGAGTATTTTTATTTTTAATGAATGAATGCAAGTTATTCACATTATCTATATTAATTTTTTGAAAAATTCTATAATACAACCGATTTTGGAGTGCGTATCATATGTCTCACTTATAGCATTTGTGATATTTAATTGTGACATGTTGTAGTGTTAATTAATTATGATTCATTATGGTATTAATTGACTCATTATGATAGTCATAACCTGTTGTGATTATTATTTTGATTAGGATTGAAATTGTATTTGAATATACTTAGGCGATATTTGGTTATGACTCATTATTATTATTTAGTTATGATTAAAAATAATTTATTTATGATAATTAATATCACAAATATCATAATTTACATATAATACACACTTTAAAAAAATATGTATAGTAGCATGACTCTTTTAATTTACATAAGCATATAAATTATGCTTGGATAATATTATCCTCCATATATTTAATCAATGAGTAGAGAACAGCAACTTGACTTTTTTATTTAATTATTCTTGGCGGAGGGGACAAACATTTCATGACAAATCATTGGCCTTTGGAAGGAAAAAAATCACACAAAAAAAAGTATATATTACTTATCAAGAGAACAATCCTAATACTAGAAAAATTACTAAGAAAATGATATGTAGGACCACAGCTATTTCGATTTGACTCACATTTTTTATCAATTTTAAATTTACATCATTCACTTCTTTTTAGAAATAAATTTCAAAACAAAAATTCACAATTAATCAACCAAAAGAATAAGAGCTTGTTTGGGAAATGACTTTTTAGTTAAAAAAGATTAAAATATTTAAAAATAATTTTTTAACTTTGTAAAAAAAAAAAAATGCACAAAAAAAGTAAAATGAATGAAAATAAAATTTTGACATCTTTGTTTGAGTTGAAAACTCTTATCCATCAATCATGAAAAACTAAAAACTATTGTTTAGGCTTGCCATGCAAGTAACCTTGCTATGTGTATGTATTTTTGTTGAGTTGTGCTATACACTTAGAAAAATGATTTAAAATTTAAAGCAAAATTGAAATATGTGGATACAATTTATTTTGCATATTAGTATATTACTCACATCATACTCATTTTAAATTTATACTTTACACTTTCGGTAATTATGATTAAATTTTCATAGTACCTAAAATTATTTCTTTTATATTTTCCTCAGCATTGAAGTAAATTGATATATTCTTTTTTTTCCCTCATTTTTTTGCTTGCATATATAACCAACAACTAGTTTTCATCAGATGATTTGAACTATGATGCTAAGGTCACTACATAATATTTTAGTTCACGCAATATGGTTTTATTTTAGCCAACAAATTATTTTTTAGCTAAATTTTTTAAGGGAAGCCCTAGAATTTTGACAAAAGTTGTACTCATTCTGTTAGAAATTCTTAACATGACCTGTGATAAGAAATTTCATTATTAAATTATAGACCCCCAAAAAAAAAAAGTTTTAGAGTATATTATGCAACACCATTGTAATTTCTGACACTATCTTCTAACTTACCTATGTGCACTATCTTCTAACTTAACCTATGTGCTCTTTTGAGAAACTGGTAAAAAGTCAGCTTTCAGTTTTTTATCAATTTTGGATCACATCACCTCTCACTTAACTTATTCACAAAAAGACAAAATAAATTAAAAAAGTCAAAAAATTAATTTTTTACCAACTTTTTAAAACACCCTTGTATGCCATTGTACTTCAATTCTTGATTATTATTATTATTATATTATAGTTTTTGGAAAGGGAAATTGATTAATGATTAGTCTCTAAACCAACAGGCGCAGTGGTGTTACACTGTTTTGTCTCAATCCTTAGTGAAGTGGTTTAATCTTCCTTGCATTTGACTATGACATCCCTCAAAGGAGCCATTCTTCTGGAATTTTGTGTTTGTTTAGTTTTATTGACTCATGCTATGGTTTTTCCTTCATGTTTTGGAAAAAGATCTTCTCTATAATTTTTTTCATTGTTGTCATCCAATAATTTATTTAAAAGCCATAGATAGTGATAATAACAAATTTTTAGTTGTTTGACTTTTGGTTCAACTGTTGGATGAAAACTGAATGAAGAATATGCTTTGTGAGTTTTGGATTAATTGCAGAATGATGACGGGATGAAAAAAGTGTTAGAGAGAATTTAGATCTCTTCGTTTTACCTCGTAAATTATGGGATTGAAATAACAATTTGGTTATCCTTCCATAAATCATGTTTGTTTTGTAAAAGATTAATGCTAGAATGACCATGTTTTTGACTGTATCTATGCATCATCACTGTAATGATAACAAACATTCAATCTCACTATATTTATAATCTAATCATTCACTGCACTAATAATCTCATTATTCAGTCTCACTGCACCTATAATCTCATTTGACATAATTCGCAAATAAACATGATCCAAGGATAACCTAATGCAAGAGACTCTTACTAAATGTACACATAACATGACATTTTCCTTAAAAAAACAGAGCATGCTTTGTAAAACACTATTAATTTACACCCTTGTTTTAGTCATGTATGATGTTGACATTAATAGCATTTCTAATGGACTTTCACCTCACAATTCTACATTCAAAGAAATATTTCATATAACACTTTATTAAGTGTTCTATGTTTTCCTCTCTTTCCGATGTAGGACAAAGTTCCCTAACTTATTTCAAACTTTTCAAAGAAAAACAAAAAAAGTTTTGAAAACAGTGAAGAAAATATAAGTTTCGAGTAAAAATAAACCAACCTTATCTCATTTTACCCCCATGTAAGATTATTTTAAACAATGGAGAATATTTGAACACATAAGAAGAAAAAATCAGTAGCTAAACCATCTAATCTATGCTTGCAAGAAGGAATAGAAATCACATAATCAAGAAATTATTATTCTATCAAAATGTAAACATGCATTGAGCTATTCTTGCTATGTGTGTATTAACAATGCACACTCTTGCATATTTTTAATATATAGATTCAGTTAAAAAAAAATATCTAAGGGAGGATAGAGGTTGAGTATTCCTACCTCAAGAGCTTTTACAAGCTATTCTTAAGATTAGTTTTGAAATGGTGACTACCAAGCACCCTCTTCTCTTCCTCTTTTTTTCTTTTTCCTCAGCCATGTGGATATAAATGAAAGGGCTGAAATAGTGTTCTATTTGTAGGAGTTTGGAGGCAATTTTTTTTTTCCCTTATTATTCTTCTCTTGGGAGCATTACCTACAATGTATAGGCCTAGGGTGTGGTTGTATGCATGCCTTAGCATGCTTGCTCTCAACAGCCCTTTTCCTTCCTAAGGAAGGGTGGCCGAATTCCTCTACCCAAACAAAAAAAAAAAAATCTGATTCCAATTTTTTTTTCTGGTGTGTGTAGAAAAATAAAAATCAATAAATATATATAACCTAGTCACTAGATATTTTTCTCCCTACTATCCTCTGATTAATTTAGTTACTATTTATTTAACTCATTTAGTTTCCACAACTCTATTTAGATACAGAAAGATAAATAATTTTATTTAAAGGAATTTAATATTGGTATTAATTATGATGCTATTAACATTATAATTTAATAATTTAATAATCATTATTAATTGACTTAATATTCTTATTAACAAACTAATTAGTTGTCTAAAAATTCAAGTTCTTTCAGTGAAAGCAAACGTGGTTGAGCATGGGTAGTCCTCAGAGGTAAAAAAAAAAAGCCACCAATAGGCAAAAACTCAGAGCTAGGGGCAAGAGGCGGTGTCTCCAAAAGGCCAATCTACAAGCCGCAAGAACCTACTTTTATGTTCAATGGAAAGTGCTTCAATTGTGGAAGCGATGGGCATTGGGTGGTTGATTGTTGCCAAAAAAAAAAAAAAAAAAAAAAATTAAAAAAAAAAAAAACCTGTTTTTTTAATTACAATCACATTTTTCTCTTTGTGAGTATTTTTATTTATCTAACTTCAATCACATTAAAAAATCAAATTATAATTTATTTTTTTTTTTACAAATCACAAAAGGAGATAACTTCAATCAAAAGAACCATTAAAAGAACTATTAAAATAGTACACAAAAGAAGAAATTGCTAAACCAAATACAAATTATAATTTTTTTTTTGGCTAGACCACCTGCTAATATTCATTACAAAAATTTAATCACAGAAAGATAAATAATTTTTTAAAGGTTTAATATTGGTATTAATTATGGTGCTATAACATTATAATTTAATAATTTAATAATCACTATTAATTGACTTAATATTGTTATTAACAAATCTAATTAGTTGTCCAAAAATTTAGTTTCTTACAGTGAAAGAAACGTGGTTGAGCATGGCCAGCCCTCAGAGGTAAAGAAAAAGCCACCGATAGGCAAAAACTCAAAGCTATGGCAGAGGTGGTGTCTCCGGGCCAGTCTACAAGCCGCAGGACCTACTTTAGGTTCATGGAAAGTGCTTCAATTGTGGAATGATGGGCATCGGTGTGGTTGATTGTGCAAAAAAAAAAAAAAAAAAAGCCTTACAACAAGTACCCTCCAAGCACAGAATCGTGCCACATGGCT